AGGCACACACAGAGGGATTTAGCTGTGTTTTCTTTTTACTAAACTCTATTAATATTTTATACAACTGCAGAGTGCTGAATCACCTCAATTTCTACTTTTTTATCTTCTAAATATTATCACAACCTTTCATCTACAATGCATGTGGCATACTGAATTTACCCTCACACTTATGCAATTCAAATTTATCCTTTTTTCTCTATAAATGTATATTTATGTGCACATACTTTTGCCCACATTTATAAGATTATACTCTGGAAATTTATCTGATATCACCTCCCTGAAATGCATTTTTGTAATTTTAGGTCAATAAATTTAAATATTCCAGTCTGTATATTTGGGAAAAATGGGACATTGCAATCACCTACCAATTTAACTAATTATGCACTACTATTAAAGACAAATCTTAATGCCTCCAGAAAATTAATTCTCATTTACCTGTTCATACATGGTGCTTTAGACAGTCTCAAAACCTACAGTGGTAATTTGCCTCAACCTCACCATTGAAGCTTCTAGATTACATTCCAGGTTGGACACTGGTGCTACACTTTCACTGAAAGTGATTCTTTGATCATGGCTATTGTCCTTTCACTGCCTCCTACATGCTTGGAAATATGCAAATTGAATGGAATGTTTAGAATCAGAAGTTTCAACACACTTAACATAGATCTATGCTATAAAAGGTTACACCTACTCTCTTTAAGGAAAGAATAAGACACTTCATCAAGCCCTACACACACACATAATAATAATAATAATAATAATAATAATAATAATAATAATAATAATAATAATAAATAATCCCCAGGAAGGAAAAGAATAATCATTCATTAAATTAATTTTTAAAAATATTTTAGTTAGTCATACATAACTTTAATAGAAAACAGTGATATAAATGCAATTTCAATTTCTACACTTGTGTCTGATTACTTTAAAGACAACATAAAATGCTGGCTGCAGGGCTGGGGTTGTGGCTTAGTCGTAGATGACCTGCCTAGCACATGTGAGGCACTAGGTTGTATCCTTCGCACCACATAAATAAATAAATAAATAAATAAATAAATAAATAAATAAATAAATAATTTAAAAAAAAACTTGGGTGCAGTGCAGTATGCCTGTATTCCCAGTGGCTTGAGAGGCAGAGGCAGGAAAATCACAAGTTGAAAGCCAGGCTTAGCAACTTAGGCTCTAAGAAATTCATCCAACCCTAGCTCTAAATAAAATTATTTATAAAGGGCTTGAGATGAGGCTCAGTAGCAAATCATTACTGGGTTCAATGTGTGATACCAAAAATTCAATCAAT